ACTGCTCAAGTGTTGACTTATTTGATAATGCTTTAAAAATTACATTTTTCATTACTGGCAACTGGATCAGGTAGATTTTATCTGACAGGAAGATACACACAGAAGGAGCCAGGAGATCTGGAGTGGTGATGAAATTTAGTGAAAATGCAATTTCCTGCTACTAAGTCTTGTGACAGGTACATGGTATTTGTGGGTTCGGAAGTGGTTCCCCAGTGATAAGGCTTTGGCAGAATATCACCAGTTGGTATTTGCACAGTATTTCCTCTTAAAGAAATGTTTGGGTTTTCGTTTCCAGTTTTTCCATAGTACTGATGAGTTTTTTAAAATTACTTTTTGTATTAAAGCAGTGTTGCCATATTTGCTGCATGTAATTGGTGTCTGGTAACTAAGGATGTTGAATATAAAGTACGTGGAATGGGCATTAAATGTCGGCCATCTTTTTCTGGTGCTTATTGCTGTACTTTATCATTCATTGCATTTGTCTTTGTCACTCACAGATATTTATTGAGGTGCGTGAGTGCAGGGTCCCAAAGGGCTATTGCTTCTTTAATCCTCTTTCAAATATCTTCTTCTATTACAAAATATCTGAATATAGATCTTAGTCAGTCTTACGTGCGTGGCTTTAGTCAAGCTCAGCTTGTCTCGATTGGAAAAGCATGTAGAGACAGGGCTATGGGAAGGCACACAGCAGTTCTTCAGAAAGTGTGTGGCAGAGTTTGTCTATCAAGTTATTAGATTTCCTTTCCAACCATCTCGTCATAAGAACACTTGTGAAAAGCTGTTTTGGGGGCTTGAAGGAGATGACATTGCTCAAGGTTTATTATATTCATATCCTGCTTTGTTGAAAGCTAACCCCTTTGTGCAGCTACTTAAAAATAATTTTTTTTTAAACCCACAACATTCCAAAACGTGGAGGCTCTTTGTTTTTAGGGAAGACCTCACCGGCAACCATAGTCCTGTTTAATCAGCCTCTTTATTTGCCATATTTGGTTCTGAAAGCTTTTCAGGCTGTTTCCAAAGATCAAATGAGCCCTTCAAGGGCTAAGACTGGCTGCTATAGAGACCATTGAAAAGAATACACTCAAGGCTGAGAATCCAGTTGCAAGAAAGAAACAGGAATTTGAGAAGGCATTCCAGAAATGCTGGGAACAATGGCTGCATGAGTGGACTAAGCATGCAGCCCTCAAGGTGGCCACTGGGAAAGACAGCCCTCAACCAGGCATGCGTGTTAAAAACGATCCATCTGTATCCTTGCTGCATAGCTAGATTTGGTGTACACCAGTGTATAAAGGCAGACTGGTGTGAACTTCCGACTTTTCTCTGTACATTTTCCTGGGCTTCTGTTGTTAGTAACCTTCTGCAGTTCTTACCTCTCCTACCACCATTGTCCCTACTCATTTTCCACAGACACCTAAGTCTATGCTGACAGTTAGTAGCATTTATGGCTGAGGTGGGTTTTTATTTGGATTTTTGATAAAGAGCTTTTAAAGGGAGTGCCTATAATAAACCTAGCTTCTCAGGAGATTCAGATCTGAGGATTGAAGTTCAAAGCCAGCCTGGGCAGAAAAATCCTTAAGATTGAAAAAGAGCCCGGTGGTAAAGTGCCAGCAATGGGTGAAAAAGCTAAGCAAGCGATCCTAAGTTCAAGACTCAATACTGGCACACACCCACAGAAGTTGTATACTAAGACTTTAGCAGGAAGGCATGTGGTGAGTTGATAGAGGTGATATGGCCTTTCACTCTTTGTGTTTTTCACATTCTTATGGACAATTACAAGCAAAGCAATAGATTTTAGTGCCTAGTGAGCCCATATTTTTGGCTCCCCCGTAGAGCCCCCAGTCTCTGCCTGGTGCATCTACACAGGTTGGCACGTGTGATGATAAAAACCTGGTGCGGACTGTTCCGACTGTTCTTGTCCTAAACTGTTCACTCCAGCCCTCTGGCCAAGAGCAAGATATGGGAGGAAAAACGTACTGCCTGTCCTTTGCATTTTCTCCATTGTGTGTATGGCAATTCTCTGCCACAAATCCTTTAATCCCATTGGCATTCCTGCCTTAATTTAAGTCCCAGACCTAGGAAGCTATATTCAGGTATATACTGCTCCTAGAGTAAGAATGTTCTGATAGGAGTTAAAGAAAACTTGGAAGGAAATCAGAGTTGTGGGACTCCTGTTCTGGGCTGTTTGTTGGAAAGAAGGGTTTGCCTTGGTTTGCCTTGCATTCTTTGAGATGACAGGAAAGAAATGTTTCACTATTTCTCTGGCAATTAAAGGGACAAGCCTAGAATGCACTTCTCTCTCTCTCTTTCTCTCTCTCTCTCTCTGTCTCTCCCTCCCCCCTCCCTCTCTCTCTCTGTCTCTCATATGTGTTCACATTCACCTCCATAGTAAGTATTTATTAGTAATTCTTTATGCTTGTGGGTTTTTTTCTTTCCTTTTCTTTCTGTTTTTAATGTATCCTTTAGAAGCAGAGTTAATTTTTTGAGTGTGTGCCACTTCTTCAGCTCAAACTCAGGGCCTGTGTACTATCTCTGAGCTTCTTCTGCTCAAGGCTAGCACTCTACCACTTGAGCCAGAGCTCCACTTGTAGCTTCTTTTGGTATTTTATTGAAGATAAGAGTCTCACAGACTTTCCTACCTGGGCTGGCTTTGAAGTGCAGTCCTCAGATCTTAGTCTCCTGAGTAGCTAGGATTACAGGCCTGAGCCACCAATGCCCAGCAAGATTTTTTTTAAAAATAGAGCTTTCATAAAACCAGAGTCATATTTGATAAACTAGGACTTCCTTGAAAGTCATCGTGTAAATAGTGAAAGCTAATGGTTCCGAATCATCATCAAAGCCCTTCAAGAGAGAAAGGCCACATTTGGTGACAACATACAGGTATAACTCCAAACTGGGGAGACGGAGGCAGGAGGGTCACAACTTCCTGAATACCCTGGGGTACATAAGGAGACGCTAAAAAAAAATGGAGGAGAGGAGGATAAAAGGAGCAAAAGAGAAAGAGAAGAGAGAGAAGACAAGGAAGGACTAAGGGAGAAAAAGAGGAAGGAGGCAGGAGAGGAGAGGAAGAGACAGAGGCAAAAGAGAGACAGGCAGAGAGACAGAAAAATAGAGAGAGGGAGGGAGGGAGTGCTGGTCAACACTTATGTTTGTGAATCTTAGAAAATACGCTATCCTTGTATCTTATGTACATGTTGATCATATTTGAAAACATTTCCTTAAAGTCCCTGTAATTCAAGACCTCTGGCCTATCAGCTAAGGTTTCTCACCATTTACTAAACCTGGATCTGTAGACTTAACTCCTCGTGCTCCTCTGTATTCCTGAAGTCCTATGAATCTCCTTGCTTGGCCAGTCTCATCCCTCAGGCCTTATTTTTACCCTGTCTTCAATGGAAATGTGCTGTGTTCCCATCATCTGTTTGTGGTGTACCTGCTTTGTGGAATAATAGAATCTTTATTCTACATTCGCTAATGATTCCTTGTCTTCCCATTCTAGCCACCTGTGTCAGCAAGGGGCTTTCCTAATATTTTTAGTTAGAAGAATAGCTTTCCCCCTGGCATCTGTCAGTAAATTCATCTGTCTGCTTTGCGTTCTGTTTATGGACTTTGCTTGCCTTTCTAGGCTTGCTTGAAGGCAAAGCTTATAGCCGGATTAACTTTGAACTCTCTGTACTTAATGCATCCATTCAACAAGTATTTATGATGATCTACTCTGTGCTGCTCAGTGTACTCTATAAATTCTGCTAGGCATAGATTCACTTTTTTTTTTTTTGCCAGTCCTGGGGCTGGAACTCAGGGCCTGGGCACTGTCCCTGAGCTGCTTTTACTCAAGGCTAGCACTCTACCTCTTGCGCCACAGCACCACTTCCAGCTTTTTCAGTATATATGGTGCTGAGGAATTGAACCCAGGGCTTCATGCATGCAAGGTGAGCACTCTACCACTGAGCCACCTTCCCAGCCCCACGTAGATTCACTTTTGAGTGCATGAAAAATTGGGACCACTGAAGAACTAGCTAATGTAATCCTTAAAAGCAAAAGATGGTTTTTGAGGTTGGAAAAGGGTCTCCTCTCTGAAGGAGAATTGTGGATAATGCCTTTTCAGTTCTGTCTTCCTGAGTTAAAGGAGAAATGCTGTACTTTTGTTTAGATAACTTGCTTCTATTAGATCTAAATCTGAATTGCTTTGCTTTATTATTTAATGACTCACTAGTCTCTTTTCTTTGGGATTCCTTTTACATCTAACTTCTGATGACAAACAATGTCACATCAAAAGTTGATTTTAGCTGGGCACTGGTAGATCACACCTATAATCTTAGCTGCACAGCAGGCTCAAAACCAACCCAGGCAGAAAGTCTGAGAGATTCATCTCCAACTAATCAGCAAACAGTTGGAAGTCAAGGTGTAGCTCAAATGGTAGAGCTCCAGGCTCAAGGTAGAGTTTGAGGCCATGAGTTCAAGCACCAGTACCTCAACATGCTACACGCGTGCGCGCGCGCGCACACACACACACACACACACACACACACACATGCACACACACACACACCACACACACAAAATAGATTTCAGATTTTGTAAGCTTAAGCTCTATAACTTCAAATACTAAAACCTGCAGTTGATTTTTAACCGAAAGATTGAGCCCAGGTTGACTGTAATCTGTTTATTATATTTTATAGTTGTTTTACACAGTAACTATAATGTACATATTTGATTCAATCATAACCCCGAAGAATGTCATATTTATTTGTTGCCAAACCTCTGAAATGTCTAGGTCGCAATGATTTGTTTACTGGTTTATTATTGACTACTTTTAGTTTGTGATTCCTTTAGACTCAGCATTTTGAAAGAAAAGAAAAAGCAAGTTAAAACGGTTTGCTGATTTTATTTAGATCCATACAACTTGTCGATTCCAGCCTATCTGATTATTATTCTCCTTTCTTTAAAAGGAGAATTCCCAAATTGTGATTGCATGTGACAATTTCCCTTCTCTTCCCCCTTTCCAGAATGAAGACCTAAACAACCTCAGCAAATCCTGCTTTAACTCATGGGTACCCGGACTCTTAACTATTTCATGATTCACAACCAGGACCTCACCTCTTCCTCTCCGTAGATGGTACGATGCATCCATTTCAGTTTGTTTACTTTCTATAATCCTCAGGAGTTCATGGACAGAACTGCACATTCTATATTGTGCCGAGCAAAAAAACCCAGAAACACACACACAACGAAAACCACCATCACCAACAAAAGCAACAACAAAAGCACTGTGATACCGGAACAATGAGTCTGCATCAACTTCATCTTAAACCTTATGAACTTAGCTGGCCACGATGAGCTGACATGCCCACTGCAATGCTGTGGGGGAATGAGTTAAACTCTCATTGCAGTTACGAGATCAATTTTATCTGCTGCTGAAACTGCTCCATAAAACACCATTGTAAATTATTTCATACAGAACTGTTCACGTTGAGTGGAGAAAGTATTGGATATTTAACATAGGTTTTGATTTACATGTCTAATTTTTTTTTAATGAAAATGTAACTTCTCTTATAGCACATCTGTTGGTTTTTTTTTTTTTTCCTTCTTTTTTGGATGTGGGATTGAGGTATACAATGTTCTGTTGTAAAGAAGAGTGGAGCAAATGCTTAGAACAAATCAGAAAAGCATAGAAGAGGGTCTGACCCTTGTTTTAAGACTGTAATTCAGAAAAGTAATATACTAAGAATCATAGTGCCATAGACGCTTCTCAATTGTATAGTTCTATTTGCTGATACTATCTCCTGTAATATAAACTTGATGTTGAGCTGAGTTCTTTATAAGAATTAATCTTAATTTTGTATTTTTTTTTCCTGTAAGACAATAGATCATGTTAACTAAACTGAAGAAGGATATATTCTACTGGGGTATTTTCAAGTGTCAGTTTAAAATCAGTAGTTGAATGGAAGCAGAATTATAAGAAAAGGAAATGACAGTCTTCCATTCATTATATATACTGTACAGAAGAGAGACATGGATGGTCCCTTTACATACAAAGCTCTCTTTGGAATGAACAATGTAGGTGTTTGTAAATTCTGGGAATGTCTTTCTATTCACAATACATTACATACCGTTGATTTCTTTTCCTCCCCATCTACCACCATTCTGTAAGCTTCCTGCTCCATCTCTTATTTTTTTTTCTGTGTACATGTTATGGTATTTCATTTCCTTCATTGTCTTGAGAAGGATGTTAAGAGAAGCAATCTCTTGCTAACCAGAAATTAAAATCCCAGATTTTTTTTTTTTTTCTTTAAATCATGGCCAGGGCTACATGTCACTTTCCTTAAGACCCTCATCTCTTATGTCCTGACAACTTCCAGTGTTACATGATTTGACTAAATGTAAGTGGTTCATTTGCCCTGATGAGTGCTGGGCCTATTTGTGATGAGTTACTAAAACCACCAATGTGCAGAGAGCACAGGAGAGCATGATGATCCCCTATTGGGAGATGTAGCCAGCAGTGCAAGTGTTATTCCTCTTCTTGTTTGCAAAGTGTAGGCACCTTGGAATTTTCCCTTGTGGAACCAAAATGGCCATGAACACAGCTTCACGTTATTAACCTGTAGAATGTTCAATCATTCTGCCAGGAAACCTCCTAAAGGTTAAGTGAATGAATGCAAATATCAGGTTCCCTCTGAGCCAGTGTGAGCGGTATAGCAGACATTGCCAGCCCTGCTTGTAGAAGGAGCAATATTTTATTTCTGGGAAGAGTTGAGCTCCCTGGGTGGGGCTGCAGGGAAGGAGCTGCTGCCTCATTGCTGGTTGGGGACCTCTGCTCTACTCAGAAGTGAGTGGAGATGAATGGACACACTGCTGAGGCCTGTGTTACTGCTCATTGAACCAGATGGCATGTACCTCACAGACTGTTGTACAATGTTCATTGTTGCTGGTCTTAATCATTTGCATGCTCATCAGTTTCTAAGATAAATAGGTCTATAGTCATAAGAATCCATTGTTTCCAAGAAAACCTGCTGAATTCCATCATTCCCTATTTGTGGAGAACCCCACCAATTTGAAAAAAATCTGCTATGAAAGTTGTTTCTTACACTTGGGTTAAAAAAAAAGAGAATTTCATAGTCTAAATCTCTTTTCATTTTTCAAACATTCTAATTTGTTCTCTTGTTTGAGTAAGAAGAAAGCAAGGCAGTTTTCTTTTTCTTTCTAGTTGTAATTTTTTTTTAAGGAAACTAGACTTTGAATACATCTTACCAAGATACCTCTGAATGTGGGATTATCAACGTATTTTGGGTGAGGAAAGAAATGAACAGACTGGAAAATCCATCTCTTGGTCTCTGACTTTTTTTGTTGAGTCAAATAGCACGAAGGTGGAAATTCATATTTAAGCTGCTCTAGAAGTACCTGAGCTGGGTTTAATGACAATATCAAACTTTACTGACTTAAAACTGGAAGTTACTGGTACTCAAGCCAAAGCCCAAGCTCTGGCTACTTGAAGGGTTTACTTTAAGCACATCAGCTGCTAAGTTCTTGTGTTCAGTTCCTTTTGAAGAAAGTTGGCTTTTATGCATTTCTGAGTATTTGTAGGTCAGGCAAGGGCTTACATCCATGGAGCTTCTAGTGGCCTCTAGTTAACCTAGAAGTTAGTGGCTTTTTCTTCATGAACCCAACCTTTCACAGTGTTCTGAGAGACTTAAGTGGAATTTTAAAGTTCTCCTTTGTTTTTTAAAAAAATGCTTCCTGGCTTTGATGTCTTCATTTTGGGAAAAATGAACCAGCTGGGGATGAGGAGAACCCATTAATGATCAACCACTTGAATCAATAATGACAAATCAGTACTGATGTTAGATTTGTGGCTAGTTTTTGCTGACTTTCAAAGGTCAGGGACTCCCTTGAATAATCTGTAACTGTACAAATGGGTCTACTCAAAATCATCTAGCCAGAGTAGAGATTTTTTAACCTTTCTTTCCCTGGCTTTTATCTTCTACCCATCTTTTAAATGTGTGACAAATAATTAAGTAACTATGTTTCTGTACTGTAAGGAACAATATTCTACGGTACCGAGCATCTGCTTTATCTAATGTCACATCCTGTAGGCAATATACCGTGTAGCTGGGAACTCATTTACTACAGGTTGAAAGATGGGGAGGAGGCACCCCATCCACAGACAGTAAGAGCCATGACTGTGGGTTACAGTGATCCTTTCTATTTGACTTACATTGCTTTGGCAGAATTCTGTAGGTTAGATCAGCACACAAGGAGAGTCTCAGTCAAGGAGGTTCTCAAACCACACACTGGAATTCGCACCTTCACCAGGGAGACAGGGACCTCTGGAAAGGCATTTGAAGGAGAATGAGTGGAAATCAAATAAGAAATGGCTTCATTTGCAGTGAGTAGACAGGAGTTTTAGAGTTCTCAAGACAAGGTGACTGTGAGGAAGAAGTGATGTCTTATACATATATATGGAGTGTGGAAAACATAGAAGCATGCCTTTCTGGGAATGCAAGGAAGCACAGCCTTGTTGATACAAAAAGCTAGACCTCCATTCAGACTGAGGGTAGTGATGAAGAACCACACAACCTTTCTGTGGTTGTGCTAGACTATGAAAGGTTAGACACTGGTACCTTTGGTCATTTCTAATGCCAAGGTCCTCCCATAGTTCTTTAAGTCGGTGTCTCCTAAGTGTGGGCCAGCAGGTATGTGGGTATCTCTCACTGCTTATAATTAGAGCATGAAATTTGATGCTAGGAGAGGTTGAATGATGTTAGAAGTGTTTGGCTCTACTCATAGGAGTTTACCATTAATAAAGAGCTTACAATTAGGCAGTGTGAGTAGAAACGTGTGACAGATGGAGAATTGTCTTCCTTTCCTAGCTTGTTGATGACTTGGCATTCATGATATATGTCACCAAGAGATCGGTGTGATAGTCTTTTTGCCACTGATCTAGTATTCAAATCTCTCTTTACTTTTGCTCATTTCCCCAGTGTAAAACATTATATGCCATATCATAGGACAATTTCACTAGACAGGAAAGGATGTTTGTATTTGTGTGGACATTTTTAATGCTGTTTTTTTTTCTCCTTTTTAGAACTTTGTCATTGGCCTAAGAATGTAGTTCCCAGAACAATTTTTCTTATAAAGTATTTTCCTTACACCTCTTTGGCTACAGGGTGGGCCAAATGATCTCCATATATATTTTCATTTATTGTGTGTGCCGTTTGGTTTATCATCTTAAGATGGTGGTGCTGCCCATGGTGCTACTTCATCTGTGTACAAAAGACCAATGCATGGTCTGTATTGCTACCAAAACATTTACTGTATATATGTGTATAACATATGTATTATGTATATATGTAATGGGTACCAGGCCAGGTTGATGTTTTTTATTTAGAAGTGTTTCACTTTTCCAAGTTTTCTTATAGTGTTATGCTTGTTTTTGATTTTAACTTTCCTGATTCTGACTGGTACTTAGAATTGTAGTGTCTTCATCGTTAATTAAAGAAAACTGTCTAAATGGATGTTTGTGACCCTTAATTTCTTTAATTACAAGATGTGAACCAGAAACTGGGTACTGGGATGGGTAAGAACAATGTACAATGTTTATTGTTCTTTCATAAGTGATTATGAAACAAAGATTTACCTCTGCCTGTCCATCTTTCCCTCTACTCATGGTTAAGTGTATAAGGAAAAAGACCCCTGAAAATATTTTCAGCTGTCTTTCATGACAATGGTATAAAGAGAGAAGGAAACAGAAAGTAAAAACAAAAATAAGAAATTCTGTCGTTGGTGGAGAGATTGGTGTTGCATTGACCTGCAGAAGACCGTATTGTTAACACATTTCCTAGGTTGAAACACAGAGATTAGGCCTGAGAGCCTGTTTCTAACCAGTTCCCAGAGGAGGTCAGTGCTACTAATTCTGGCCAGCTGATAACACCAAGTATGAGGGCAGAGATAGGATATTCCTTACCATCATTATTGTTAGCATCATTTAGGCAGTTTTCAAACACATCAATCACCAGGACAACTCTGGAGATGCTGCTTTAATTGTCCTGGGGGTGGAGACTGGACATCAGTTGTTAACATTGATTTTGAGGCCCCTGGGTTGATTCCAGCATGAGGTCAGACATGAAAACCACTGCTGGGAATCATTGTCCAAACTTGTCTGATAAACAACCTAGCAATATGTATTTTTTCAGCAAGTGACTCTTCTGGTAGGCAAGTTTGGGGAAACCTAGAGATTTTGGCTTGTATCACCAGTAGAAAGGGTAGTACCACCTAGAGATTTGTACATCATTTACCACACCACATTGCCAATGTAGAAGCAGCACGCCTCTCTGCCTGCTTCCTGAGCTTTCTTGTTTTCACAACTTGAGCAAAGACAAATGGTTTATCCTATTTTGTATTAAGAACAACTCCTGTTACTGAATATTTTGGAAACAGATTCACAATTTATTTTTATATGAGCATGATGCTCCACCACAGAGAGCAACAAGACTGCCTTTTCTATCCTTATTTGGTACACAGGCTAGAGGTAGCTTCTTTTTGCCTGGCAATGTAATTGATATTTTCATTGTCTAGAAGCAGCATGCAACATGATTTAATAAATGCTTGAAATCACTACTTGATCTTCGGTTTATATCACCTCCTTCGATTTCCATTTAAAAACAGACAAACTATCACTGATTCTTCCCTCCTTATGGCACTGCAGAGCAAACATTACTCTGTCCCCTATTGAAATTACATGTGAACATCACTAATTAGTATTAATTTAAGGGGAAGTCTAGTTGGAATGAATGAATCGGGTAATTTATAGCATAATTGTCTTATTACCTCTACATACACATAGAAATGAGCTATCACAAGTAAAACACACATAAAAGACCTTTGAGAATTAATAGCCAAGGAGAATTTGTAATTACCTCAATGCTGCGATTATATACACTGTCAACATTAGTTCTGCATTTGTTGTAGGCTAGCTATCAGGGTCAACATTAATTTTCTTGTGTTATCCTTCCAGCTACCTACATGTATACCAGGAGTCTGTCTGGTTACAGGTTATGAGGGGTAGAATGGCTTCTCACCCCAGGCTCTTAATGAGGAGGGCTTCTGTTCCCATCAACACCATTGCAAGTCTCTGGTTTCAAAGTACTTAAAGAAATATATGCCCTATACATTAAAGACACTGATGGGCCAGATGTGTAGGTCACTGGTTGAGCACTGGTCCAGCCTGCAAAAAGCCCTAGGATCCACTCCTAGCATCACAAATAAACAAAAATCACTGATTCCAGCTGCCTTATGCTATAAATTTGCTGAGCAAACATGATCTCACCTAACGCTGCAGGTAAGGCTCCGTCCAGCTTGTAATTTCCACCCTTCAAGATAGTAAGATCTTGTTCCATTTATTTCCATTCTCTATCTGCGTGTCCAGTTCAGTCATGTCAAGAACAGTTTCTGGCTTCTCTGTGTTTTACTTAGTATACCTTTTCAGCAACAGAATAGACATGCCCAGATTTATCATAGGAACACATAATGACAGTAGGTTAAAGGTAAAAGCCACATGAAATCCAAACAGCTTGTGTATTGAGGCATTAGATTTTGACATATCTCTCCAAGAAGCCCTTGTACATTGAAGTTATGAATGCTTTGTTAAGGGTATTGATGAGTAGACACATGGCCAAGATGGCCAACAAGGGCAGAACCCCTGGTGAGGCAGATGCCTGGGTACCACCTGGTGTAGAAAATGGATTCTCAGCTGGCGAGTGAGTGCTGGCAGCTCACAATACAGGTCTCCTCTCTGATAGACACCATGCTTTTCAGAGCTTGGTCCAAGCACACGACGACCGAACTTCTGAAGAGTTTACAAATACATTGACAAAACCACAGGAAATAATTTTAAAAAAATGGTTTCTAACATATTTACATCCAGGGTAACCTGTACCCTAACTTTGGTGGAATATGTTATTAGAGTTCAATAGGTAATCCATGATTTGCTTCCTCTCCTCCAAAGCTCCAAATCTGTAGGATCAAAGTCCCCAAATTGTAACTGAGTGAAGAATTGGTAGAGGTAGAGTTTCTACTGCTTATGAAAACCAAACTGGTTATTGAGCATCAATCATTAAGATTGGTGGACATTTGTAAAGAAATAGCAAAAAAAAAAGACATTAGCTAAATTTCGTATATACATAATTATATTTGCATTTATTTTTCATATAGCAGTACAAGGCCATATAATACACACACAAATGAAAATAGAAGTCTATATCCCTCAATGATGTGCATCTGGTAGCATTTTGAGTCATTTTAAATTTTTTTACAGTGTTTATATTTACTTTCACAATCACATTTATATGAAAAACATTAAAGTATTACAAAAATTTAAAATGGGTTAGATGAGGAATCCTCATAATCTAACTGTACCATGATGTATAAATCTACAAATTGAGTTTGGCAACCTATAGTGTCAGGCCAAGTGAAATTGTAGCCTTTTATTTTTTTTCAATAAATAAGATTTCAGTGGAATATATGTGCCCTAAAATATAAAATATATATTGCCTCAAAAATGTTTGGTGGCATCTGCCATAGATATTTTTCAGACAGATAATTGGGCTCAGGCAAAGTACCTTGCTATGAGCTCTTTCAATTCTCCAGGACCTGCTAGAATAGCAGGACTTCAATAAAGTCTAGGGTCAGTGAACAGGCATTTATTTTGTTCCTTTCCTTTTCTAACTAGCAATCAATACAGTGCTGTTGTGGCAGATACTGAATCTCTGTTGCCACGATTATATCACTGTTGGATAGAGTTCATGATCATTTATTAATCTCCATGCAGTTGATTGTTGAAGAGCCAAAAGAACTCCTTTAAAACAAGTTTTATCTACAAACACTTAAATGCTATTTTACAATTTGGCAAGCAGAACTGGAATAAGCAGAGCTTGGAGGATTTTTTTTTTAAATCAGTACTTTGATTTTTCTAAGTTCAAAAACAAAAACAGACAAAAGAAGAGAAGTAAGTTAAGGAGGGTTTTTTCCAAATAGAATTTATTTTAAGAGAGAAAGAGAGAGAGAGAGAGAGTGAGAGAGGGAGAGAGAGAGAGAGAGAGGGAGGGAGGAAGGGATGGAAGGAAAGAGAGACTATCCAAAGGAAGTTGAAAGTAGGTTGGAGGGTCTTGGATACCAGGACTTCAATAAAGACTAGGGACAATGAACAGGGTTTCTTATTTTTCATTCTCTTTTTCTAACTAGCAGTTAATACAGTGCATAAAATGGATGCATGCCAGGAGCACTGATTCTGTCCAGGAAGACAAAGATAAAATACTGGACTTAAAAAAAAACTATTGCTCTAATTGGAGTCATTAGGCAAAATAAAAGGTACTTCCTTAGTATGTTCATCATCAGATCTCAGTATTCACGCATCACACCCTCAATATCACCAGGAGTAGTTATATTCTCAGCGTGAGATTTGCCATATAATGAAATCCCTGCTCTTTGAAGTTGCCTTATTAGTTCTAGAAATGCTCTCGGATTTTGACTTATCTAGACTCGTTTTCTAGATAAGGAAACTGGATTCCTTTTCTACTTCTTTAAATTCATATTGATATCATGGGTATTAAAATGAATTCCATGACAGTTTCAAGGTCCCCTTCCAGCCAGTTTTTGGGTACTCTCCTGGACCCAGTTTGCAGTGTATGAAATCATATCCTGGAGATTTGTTGAAGTCAACCTGGGGGTCCAGCTAGGTGGAGAAGGGAAGACAGGTACCTCACTGAAAGAAGATGCTAACAAAGTTTCCAAAGGCTGGAATGAGCAGAGCCAAGCAGTCGGGCAACACACCCAAAGACTAGAAAAGCACTCTACAAAATCATAGGATTTTAATGCTGGATGGAATCTGTTGTCATTCTCACTTATGAGTTTAGAGGTCTTTTTTGGACCAGATATAGTGACAATCCAAGACCATCCCCAGCTCACGTTTATTTGAGCATTTGCTATGAGCCTGTCCCTGGTCATGGACCGGGTTATGGGATCTCCCTTCATCTCAAAGGTTTATGCATACCAGGATGCCATTTTGCCGACTAAACAGACCAAGGTGTAGAAGGTTACCCAGATGGTTAGCAGAATTCCAGAACAGCTCCCTTAATCATTGAAAGACATGGGGAATGAAACAAAATCCCAATCCTTTGAAATCCTGGTACACATTCATGACATGTGGAATTTCTTCCATGGCTGTTTCAATACTCTAGGCATAGCCTTTTACCTCTTCTCAGCCTCTCGCCATCAGATCCAACTTTCCTTTCTAGTACTTTCAAGGGCATCTAGCTCAATCTAGTTAATGCTCAATTCTGCTTCTAAAATTTATTGATTTTAGAAAGGAGACGTACAGAGGAATTACAATTACATGAGTCAGGTGACGGGTAAATCTCCTTTTGGTACAGTGTCTTCCCGTCCCTCACTCTATCCCAGTCCCTTCCTCCCTCATCATAGTATCCAGTGAGCTCCACTGCACTTTTTCAATCTTTAACCC